TATCTCTAGTCTCACTGACTTTCTGCCTGAATTTATATTTGATAGGTATCACTCACTTTATCTTGCATGTGTCACTGCGTGTAACAAACGTATTGCATCAAATACAGTATACCCCATCCCAATTTTTAACACAAGTCCTTTTTGGCTTACAGGGTTTTCAGTGAATGCCTCATCAGAGCGGCTCAATATGGGAGAAATAGAGACTTTGGAAGACTACTGAGCATGTGCAAATCAACTGGCTTTTCCTGCATCTGTTAACCATGGGATCTCCGTTTTGGACACAGTACTCTCCACCATGCGTTCTTCTTCGCCTTGCAGTGAATCACAGAATCATCTCAGGCTGCTTCCTCTAGCCCCCAGCAAACCCTTTCTGCCCAGGACTGCACAGGCGTTTTTCTTACTGTCGGCCTAGAGTCAAGTGGACTTTGTTTGGAGTCCTGGGAGGGTGGGAGATAGGATTCATTCACAACAAGGCTGATTTGGGCAGCAAGCTTTCACTGTGCTGTGATCTCCTCTGCTGACATACCTGGAAAAAAGAAATCAATTGGGATTCTGCAAACCATTGCTTCCCTCTCCTGGTTACTCTTACCACATCCAACACGTGCAGTCATGGAGAGAGAAAGAGAGAGAGTTTGTGGTTAACAGATGTTGGTCAAAACCAAAATGCCACACAGATACTGACTTCCGCGCTCCATCAGGGCAAGAGGTGCTCTCCCAAGCCAGGAGTTGCATTCATAAGCTAACCTTAGAACTGGCAACAGCAGGAGAGGGGCGGTGGCGGGCGCAGTTTAGCTTGGGTTGGTTTGAAGTTGCACACCCCCTGCCAGCCCTTCTCAGCACATTATTTTTGGAGGGAAAGCTTGAGTCTGTCTTCATTAGGTAGTGATGCTGAAGCTGGTGGAGTTCCCTGTCGGCCTGCTCCAGCCTTCCTGGACAAATGGGGACTTCTGCTCCGGGGAAAAAGGGTGGCATCTCTTCTTTCAGGTTGAATTTATCCCTTAAATGCTACCTTCAGAGGGTTAGGACCAGTTTATTTTGAGCTCTTTTCCTGCAAATTTGTCTCGTTTAAGAGACAGTAGGATCTTTACTGTGTGAATCTTTAGTCTTTGAGGGTGAACACTGGCTTTCGGATATATACCCCAGCAGTCTTAGCTTTGTCATTTCAAGCAGTGCTTAGGTTAACGAGCAGAGATGCCCTTTTGTCATGAAAAGAGACTGTGGAGGGCGAAGCTATGTGCAATGACGGCCCTGCTTATCTCCTACACCTTAAACTATTTCATGCACCTTCACTGGGATCCATAATCTTTAAGTATTTATGGAATCGTAACCTTCGTCTCTCACGGAAAGATTAACACCACCTTCCCTTCTCCACCCGCTCACATGCATACACCACGAAAGAAAGGAAATGAAAACTGCCAAACGCACTTAGTTTCAAGCCCCTGGTCCCATCTCCTGTGCCCAGAGGGTTACAACCTGTGAAGGAAGAGACGCTACGGTTCTGGTGGAGTTGTATAAAGGTGTCTGTTGTTCTGTCATCACTGCCTAAAGAAAACAGTTCGAGTTGCTCAAGAGGAGTTTGGCTTTGGATTTTATTTCATTTGGTTTATTCATTTTTTGGGGTCACCTTCCCCTCCTCCTCTTCTTCCTCTTTTCCTCTCTCTTCCCCCTGCCCCTAAACATGTACAGTAACTATACAGAGACTGCTGCAGACTTGTATATAGTTTTTGGATCCAATAGCATGGAGAGACTTGGAACTGTTGCAAATCTGGTCTCCCTGTCTCCTTTGCTTTGTAAATTCATAAAAGGGGGAAGAGGGGTAGTTAAAATGTTTACAAAACTTTAAACTCCCTCTGAACTTTTGCCAGTGTGGGGGGGGGGGGAAGAGAGAACTTAAATAAAACCTGGTTGTATTATATCTGAGAGAAAACTTTCTGCTTGCTTTTGTCCAAGCTGAGTTTTAAGATGATTCCTGGTGCTAAAACTGACCCAAAACTCAACTTGCATTAGTTTTCATCAAGAAGCAGCAAGCAAACACGCAGGATGTGGAACAACAACTGCTGCTTTATTTCTTCCCTGGTGAGGAATACTGATGGGTTTTTTTCTACTTGATAATTTTAGACTTCAAATAAACACCAGTAAGTCAAGATTGGAAAATTCTGACAAGAAAGCTTTAATCGCTCCCCCATACAGAAACATGTGCATTCATGCTTGTGTTGTTTATGCAGGAAAGATCAAGCCATGGCTGACTTTCTGTTAGTACAGACACTTAGCCATGGAGCCTTCTTTGTGCCAGTCAGTAACCACCCCACCCACCCCAATTCCTTTCCCTAAATGAGAGGTTTTATTTCTCCCCCTCATGCGAAGGTCCACAGGGACACCTTGTAGGCTTCCCTTTTTAGACAAGAATCTTATTTTTGCCCTTTTTTCTATTTGATGTTTGGTTTTGTGTGGAAAATCCCAGTAAAAGTTAATGATGAATGTCCTTGTACCGTTCACATGACCACAAAGAATATGGAGTCAATATGCTGAGATGTAACTTACACAGTAGCTTTTCATTGTGTTCAGCTGATGGCTCAGGAGAACAGTACATGTTTAGGCTGATAATTTTACTTGGTTTGACTGCCTACTTGTGTGTCTGTGTGTGTGTATATAAGGTGTCTGGTTCATAAGTACCTTCTGCTGCTTATTTGGTTGGTGGGGTTTTGTAATGGTATGATCTAATTCCTACAAGCTAATTTTGGACTATGCTATGCTACATAACAAATAAGCAAAAGCGTGCTAATTCCCAGCTCAGCTGGGGAGCAGGAAAAGGAGCAACTTGTCAGTTTCTCAGTGGAAATACAGAAATGCAAGCAGGGAAAAATGCGCAATAATAATCTGTTGAGCCCAGAGAACCTTGCTCGCCTTCTGAGAGCTGGTAGATAATGCCCCAGTGGGGAAGGTGTTGGTTTTAATACTTAAATATTCTGGCTCCTGTATTTAGTACAAAGGTAAGATGACAGCATGTTCAGATTCTGTGCTCAGGTGACTGGCCTGCCACCTTCTGTAACAAAACTGGGCCTGTTTCTGTAGGCATGGTCATTTGGATCAGTAGGGATGGAAAAAATAGGAGCTACAGCTTTGTGTCTGCTGCTGAATATACATTTATGTACTTCCCAGCTCCTTTTCAGATGGAGTGTGAACCTGGAAAGCTAATGGGGCTTTGATCCGAGTTTGGCAGATGATGTTGAATGTAATGGTAGAGAGATCTGAGGTGGTTTTTGATCACGTTTCACCGTGTTCCTTCCTAACCTACCATTTCACTGCAGGGTCAGTGCTCTGTCCTCTGTTTTTCCTGCTTCCTCTCACAGCCAGGCACCTCTGCAAAGAACTGCAGCAAGCAGGATGATTTAACAGGACACCTGAACTGTATCTGGCTGCTTGTCTAAGCCAAAAAGCAGAGATCTTGTAGCAGAAACATCTGAATCTGAAATTTAAGACAAAACTACTCAATGTTTTCAGAGCATAAAGAACTGATACTGAGAGCATTTACATACTTTATTACATCTTTTTCTGAAGGAACCCATGAAGCATCTAATCCTCATATCAACTTTAAAAAATCCGAATGAAATTCTTCTGACAATGAACTAGAGCGTTCCCCTTTTGATACGCTTCATCCTTTCCCAAACCTCTGTTGGTGCAAATGTGATTTGAAACAAACCTCAGTTTTCTTTGCTGTGGAAGGGAAGGATGGGGTGCCAGAGGGTTGCAGGAGGAGGTGGTGTCTGTGAGGTTTGGATCCGAGGAGGATGCTTGCCTTCGTTGACAAGGGCAACTCTCTTGGAAGACTTACCAGGTTTTAACAGGCAGTTCTGCCTGTGGAGACCACACACTGCTCCTAGTCCACCGCTGTAAGTATACACCCAGAAAACAAGGATGCCATGGAGCTGCTCTGGCTCCATTTCACAGCATTTTAGTCTCAAAAGATTGAGGCCCTTGTTTCTTTGCTGCACCCACCCTTGAAAGACCACTGCCACCCCTGCACACTTGAGAGGAGAGCGAAGCCCTCCAGTGGTCAGCTTGGTTTCAGGGTTAGCTCCCCCAGTGGCTCCTTGTGCCTGGCCGTGGGATGCTTGGCCAGAGGGAAGGCATTTCAGGAGCATCCCTGTGTCCACTGAGAAGGACTTGCCAAGAACAGCTCCTGTGTGCACTGGCCTGGCAGGGTGACTGATGCCTAATGGCTGGGCTGCCTATGGGGTTTTAGGCACAACTTAGAGGGTGGAGCTGCCTTCAGGAGGAGGTGTGCTCCAGAAGCCGGAGCGAGTGAGTCTCTGCTGGGGTTTGCACACACTCAATCCACTTGCTGTTGTGAAGTAAATTCTTTATTTTTCAATCTTTTAAATCTTTCTTAACCTGGCTGGACAAAATTCTATTGCACCAGTGAAATTCCCAAGTTGTTTCATACTTCGAAAAGTTTTAAGAATTCCTGGAGACGCTTTTCCCAAGGGAAGCCATGCCCTACCACAGAGTCCTTCGCCTGGTCCTGCTAATGCTGTGTGGCATCCTGGTCCCTGCTGTGCTGGCAGGTAAGGAGCTTTGTTTGTATTTCAAGCCCTAAAGCATGGGTGGTCTTTTACTAACCTGCTTGCCTCTCCTATATGGCACACCTCCTCTAAAAAGGTCTGTATTTGTTGAGTTATAATTAATAGAAACTAGTTTTGGGGTCACTTGTGGTGAGAATGTGTTCACCACCCTGAGACTAAGCTGCTGCTGGGGAGAACATCATTTGTAATTTTTCCTAAGCAGAAGAGCAGTAGCACCTACGTGAGCATTAGTGACAGTAGTAGATCAGGACATGTAGATGGAGAGTTCTCAGCAGCTGATGGCATAGCCTGTTTGTTAGCTTCTAATGGCAGGAAGAAGCTACAGTGACGAAAAGGAATGCTTTTCTCTGGCTAAAGCGTATGTGCCAGTTTTTGGTTCCTTCTATGTGTCCTGCTATAGCAGAGCACTTCACTGCTGCTGTAAGTAGAAATGGGAAAGTGTCTATGAATACTCAGCTTGGTTGAAAGCTGAGGCGTGCACCTAAATGGAATTTGTCTGAAGCTGGATGTGCTGGGGCAGGTGGCAGCGCTGGAAAGTGTGCATGTGGCTCTGACTCTGGTGAGGTGAGGTGATGGGAACAGGAATAGGTGAGACACTGATTCTGTAAGGCTTCTTCTGTTTTTAAGGAGATGACTGGTAATTCCAGCCTTATCTGCTCCTGCCTTCAGAAACTCATGAGGAGCTGCTTCCCTCAAAGCCTCTTTCTTTAAGTGGAGGTGAGGCTGAAGGAACCACTCAAGCAAAGAAAATAGGCAAGAGCACAGTGCTTGTTTTCCTGAATTCTCATCCTGCCTTCCAAGATCTGGAGCAAAGCTGGATCCCAGTCCCGTCCGAGTTTATGAGCATCTTGCCTAGCAGGGAGATCCTGAGCAGCCATCCATTTCTTACTAAAGGAACTTTCACGTGGCTAGGGAATTTATCACTGCACCTAGCTGGGTGCAAGAGCAGAATTACTGTGGCTGATATTTCCCCCACAGATCCTTCCCTTCTAGGATGCCTTCTCGCTAGGAAACCTTTACAATAACCAGGAAATCAGCACTAAGAAGTGATGTTTTCCCTGTCAAACCCCGAGCTTTGATTTCTGTATAGTGGAACATTAATTGCTGAAGCACAGTTCCAGTTTGTAGCTTGCTTGTGCTCCCAGAAGCAGTGTCAGTGCTCCTCCCCAAAACCAGGTAAGGTCTTAACTGGTAACAGTACTTCACTGCAAAAAGTGATTCATTCCCATGAAAACTTAATCTGCTTCCTGCCTGAGCTAGGATTCCTTTTACACTGTTTTGTTTCCAGTATTTGGTACGTATTTGCTCTGCCCCGGCAGCTTTGCTGTGTACTTGCCCTTGGCTCAGCATCGCAGCCATGGTCTGTAGCTGTCATTGCCTTGCTGTGTCACTTTGCTCCTGTCAGATACTCCACATTCGCTTGATTCTTTTTCTGGGTGAGTCACACGCGTGCAGCAAGGCCAGTAGCTCTCAAAGAGCTTTGTACTGATGAATGCAGCATTTGGATCCTGGAGTGTAGGAGAGTCTCCATGCTTCCTCTGTGGCATTTTAGAGGCTTGAGGCCTTTAAGAAGTTTGTTCTCTACTACCTCAAAGCAGGACGTGAGGGACCAGCATGTATGATAAGCCATCCCAGGAGCAGAATGATTTTCTGCTGTATTAGAAGTGAAGTTGCTTACCCCCAAAACAAGACTTTTAGTGCACAGTGGAATTTTTTCTGCTTTTCACCCCTTTAGCAAAGGAAATTTCCTGCCTTGGGCAGACAAAGAAGGGAAGGGCATGCAGACAGCCCTCTGCTCTCCCTGCGTACACATGCAGCCCTGCCTCTCTGTAAACAAGTTTATTTAACATTCATCAGAACCGCAACGCTCTGCGCTGCTCCACACTCCAGCTCTGGCTTTTGCACATCACAGGCTGCCCTTTGTGCTCCCCATGAAGGCCTCTTTTCATCCCTGCCCTGGCCCTGTGCCCGCTGCAGCCACCTGGGGCTGGACAGCCCATTGCTGGCCTCAGAGTTCACCCAACCCCTGCCCTCCCATCTCAGCACCTTGTGCCTTCCATGGCAAAGCCCTCCATGGGGGGGCAGGAGCAGAATCTGCCTTGGAGAGGGCTGTAGCTGATGCCAACCTTGCAGACCCTAGGTCTGGAATGAGTCTTCCCATCTTCATTGTGCTTAATTTTATCACAGTGGGGTCTTGGAGCTACCTGGTACCAGAAGCCTTGGGTAAGTGCTCAGTTCAGCAAGGCATGAAGGGTCTCCACTGGCAGTTGAGGTTCCCATATGGATATAGCGGTTGGAGCACTTTTGGGGTGCTGATGGGTTGCATACCTTGATCTGGCTTCTTGCCCGGCCATTCCGGTTTCCTGGACAGTGCTCTGTGACTGGAGAAAGTGTGAGTATCTCCTCAGAGTTACTGAGCTCTTTCCAATGTCCCATTTGTCAAAGATGGGGGGGACACAACTGACTCTTTTAACGCTCTTTGTCCACATCATCTAGGTGCAACAGGAAACAGAGCCAGCTCAAGGACTTTCTGCACACCTAAATCTTCTCTGCTTCTGCTGCCTCCAAACCCAAGTAACACATGGGCCTAGAGTGCAGGAGGGTTGTGAAGAGTTGATTTTTATTTTTGCTATCAGCAAAGCCAGCTTCAGTTCGCATGATGGATTCAGAGCTCCAAGTGGAAGTCAGTAAAAAGCCTTTGCAAGGCCTTGCCTTCTGAACCATGTATATATTTAGTATCTAAACTCTGTGGGCTTATGAATTAACTTGTTTTGAGCTGATGTGTCTGTACATTGTACTGCAGTAGTACATTAGAATGCATACAGGGGAAAAAAGCAAAGCAGGAGATGTGCTGAAGGAAAACATACATAGCAACTCATGTGTCCTCATTCTCAACAATAGGAGAACAAAAGTCTATTAGGGAGTTTTTAAAGCTCAACTATGAGAATGTGATAAGTTGTAAAGATGTTTTGTCAGGCACATGTCTTAAAAAGATGCAGTTGTTGCAACAGCATGTCTAGACTTACTGCAAGTCTTTTTAGACCATTACCCAACCTTGCTTTGCACCACCACTCCTTAAAACTTTCTGACACTAGCACCAGCTCTCAGCTGAGGTTACTACTGGTTTGGAGGTGGAGAGTGAAGATGAGGAGGTGCTGAAACCAGCCTCTGTGAGGAACAGTATTGGTCCTGGTGAGGGATCTCTAGGGATGAAGATGTTAGGTGGCCTCATCTGCTTTGCCTTGAGGTCTTGCTTGGCTGCCTGTGAGTGGGGGTCTGGTGTCTTGGAGGATGCTTGAGATTTGATCAGCTTCCTCAAAAGGTATCACTGGTGGAGACTCTTCCAGTCTTCTTTCAGCCATCAGTTATCTGGAGTGCTGGATACTGTGTCACACTGCTGGCAGCTCACCCACCTTCTCCCTGAGCATGGAAATACTGGTTTCATCAAGTTGCATTTGGCATCATTGCGTCTAGATCTGGCTACAGCCCGAGTAGTTCAAGTCCTGCTGGGTCCCTCGTCATTCACCAATCTGTGTATTTCTGTGAAGGGTAAGAACCTGATACTTTCTTCCCTTTTCCTGGCCTCAGTTGTAACTAACCTGTGCTGGAGAGAGGGAGAAGACATGGTGCGGTATAGATATTTCCTTAAAGTAAGGCAATTTGGAGTGTCAGCATATGGAAAGGAGGAGGTGCCACCCTCCACCTGGCCTGTTTTAAACCATTTGAATGCTTTTAGTCCATTTTTGCCAGGTTCCATCTCTGCCCAGTAAAACCCCAATAACCAAGGTTATTCCATGTCTTTCTCTTGAATGCTCTCAAACTGTGTTTCACCAACTGAAACAACAGCTGCCCTCAGTCTGTGCTTTAGTGCTGAGACAGGGTTAATGCTGAGGGAGAGCTGCTTTGTGCCACGGGGTTGAGGTTTCTCTCCCTTCAGAGCACCAAGGCGCAAAGCCCTTGGAGTGATGGTGGGGTTACCCATGTGTGTTGGTATCCCCACTGTGCCTGCTGAGTTGCTTTGGGGTAAACAGACTGTGTGAGTGTACCTACTGGGTTTTTCTAGAGATAGAACTGGTCCCAAGACTGATGCCAGCACAAGCTAATGCATGGCTGTCACCCAGGTCACCCATCACTGGTCTTGTGATGATGTTTTGAGCATGTTTCTTGGTGATTCTTTATCTCTACAAAGCTCTTTGTTGAACAGGGACACCAGGCACTACCTTGGTTTGATATTTGGTTGCCAACTCTTGGTTGCACCCCCTCACTTGAGATTGCAATGCTTTTGGGGTTTTATGAATAGCCCCAAAGCCAGGTGTGATTTGCCCTTTCCCAGTGAAAGGCTGACTGGAGCTGTCACTCGGAGGTATTTGTTCAGGTGCACAGAATGTGTCTTCCTCTTCACAATCCGGGTGTCACCAGCTATGCAGGTGGCCAAACCTGGTTGCTCTGGTGCTGCTTCTCTCATGGATCATACTTAAGAGTCCTGATTTCCTGATCATGCACAGAGAAACCTAGCTCAGGAGGGAGAGGGATGTGCAGTGATCACACAGAACAGTAGCAGCAGAGCAGAGAATTGAACCTCTGAATTGGGTCCCACGCCCGTACTTGAAGCCTGTCTGTTGAGACTGTATCCAGCAGGCAGCTGGAAGGGCACTCATGTCTTAGGTTTGAGACCTTATTAATAGTGTGTTGGGTTTTCACACATAAGCTCTGAGCTTTGCCCTCACCTTTCTTGCTTTTACCGGAGGACTGAAATGGGAGTGTGGCATTTAATACTGCTCTGTTGTGGATCTGCTGCTCTCAGCCAGCAGCAGCATCACTGTTGTTCACTGGTATGACTGCAGAGGGGTGGAGGCATGACTCCTGCAGTTGTTAAACCCACTGGATGTGTGGGGATAGCTGGATATGGGTGGTTGGGCTTCTCAAATGGGGAGGAATGTGAGGGCACAAGCTGTTATTTAGGAGGGAACATCAAAGGTGAGTCTTGGAAGCAAAGCACTGGTTCCAAACAGACTCTCCTGGGCTGCAGCAGCTTGCTCTGGAGGGACTGGTAGCATCAAGGTGCAGGAACTAGAGGAGCCCTGGCTCTTGCTGATGTTCAGATACAAGTATCTTACTTTATGTGCGTGCACGATTCTGCTGCTTCTGCTGACAGCTCTGTTAGTGAGGCACTGGAGTGACTGAAAGGAGTTGTGTTTGCCTTGGTTGAAGTGCCGTTAAGGTAAAACCACAAGGACTTGGGACAGAAAATGCATGTTTAGCACACTCTGCCCCTTCTGTGTGGGTGAACTGAAAGCGTGTTTTAATCAGATGAGGGGAATTAGCAAAATACATGTCCAGAAGCCATCCAGGACTCTGTACAGGTCTTAAAAATCACTGACATCATAAACAAATTAGACTGTTTACTCAGCTATCAAACGTAAGCTGTGTGCCCTGCTTAGAGAGAGGTGCAATACATTTTTAGGAGTTGGATGCACAGGGGACAGGGAAGCTATCCAGGACCTGTGGGTCTGGTTAGAGAAAGAGCCTTTGCACTGTGTTTGGAAAGGGTAGTGTTCCCTCCTTGTCCATTTGAGAATGGGGAGTTGGGAAGACCCTGTCCAGATCCTACAGCCTCCCTGAAGGATGCCTGCATCTGTTACAGAGGATCTGAGCTAACGTTTCCCCCCAGTTAATGTGAGGGTTCACTCGGCTCTCTTGGCTTTGGGGAGAAAAACATTCTTGGGAAGTGCAAGGACATCCTCCCAGCACGGTGTTCTCTTGCCAGCGAGGAATGGCTGCAGTGGTGGTGCTGGCCCTGGTGGTGTGGACACAGTCAAGGAGGTTGTAGCTGCAGGGTGGATCTGTGCGGAGTTGCTCTGCTTGTGAAAGCAGCCTGGAGCCAGGGCTTCACAGGCATTATATGCGTTTGATTTGTGTCTAAACCAGCAGCTTCCTAAAGCCACTGTTGTGAACTAAATAGCCCCAGCTCTGCTTGGTTTCTTTCCCTGTTGTTTTAAGTACATTCACCTACTCAGTTCTAGACTTCACAGAATCACAGAATAGTTTGGGTTGCAAGGAACCTTAAAAATCATCCAGTTTCAAATCTTGCCACAGGTCAGGAACACCTTCCATTAGATTAGGTTGCTTGAAGCCCTATCCGGATTCTCTGGGCAACCTGCTTGGTATCTCACTACCCTTATAGTAAAGAACTTCTTCCTAATGTCTTATCTCAGTCTTCCTTCTGTCAGGTTAAAGCCATTCCCCTTGTTCTGTCACTACCTGCCTTTGTCCAAAGCCCCTCTCCAGGTTCCTTGTAGCCCCTTTAGGCAATGGAACCCGCTGTAAGGTCTCTTCTCCAGGCTGAACCAGCCCAGCTCTCTCAGCCTGTCTCCAGAGTAGAGCTGCTCCAGCCCTCACAGCATCTCCGTAGCCTCTGCTGGATTTGCTCCCACAGCTCCACATCCCTCTTGTGCTGGGGGCCCCAGAGCTGGGTGCAGGACTGCAGCTGTAGCCAAACCGCAGGATTTATAGAAGTGAAGTCCACTGGGAATTGGTACCTTCTAGAAGAGCCTCTGGATGGGATGCGAGTCTCCAGCATCTGGTTAGTTCTGCAGGACAGGCTGAGAAGGGCCCTGCCAAGGGCTCGACTTTTGCTGGGGGAAGAAGCCTTCATGGAGCACAGGCCTCTTGTGTGCTTGCACCAGGGACCCAAGATGCCAGCTCTGATGCACACAGTGACCACAGATGTACCAAGTGTGTGAGGACATGGTACTCACTGCTACTGCCACATGCTGGGTCAGCCAGCCACAGCATGCTGACCAGGAGCTAGGGGCTTGTTTGCCTCTCAGTGCATACTTAAAAGCTCTAGGGCTGGTGCTGCCAAGGTGTGATGCTGCCACCTTCCTTGGGGGCCAGGGAGAGCCTGAGACAAGGCTTTGAGTGCCCCTGGTTCACCAAGAGGCACCATGCTGAAGTGGGGGATGCCCAGCATACCCCTGTGCCTTGCCCCAGAGAGCCCAGGCTGCTTGCTCTGACTCCTCTGATGCCCTTTCCCAGCCCTGTCGGTTCAGATGGGCCCTGGTGCTGGATGCTGTTTGTTTCCCTCCTCCCCCCTTTTTTTTCCCCATCCCAGTGCAACATTCCCAGTGGTTTCGGCAGGGAGCTGCGGAATTTCTCCTGTTCCTGCCGGGGCCCACCTGAACAAGCCAGGCATTGACAGGGAGCGCTCGGCTCAGCCACACACAGACAGGGAGGGCTCTCTGCTTTGGTCCCTGACCCTACAGGGGAAGGAATAACAGGAGGTGAATGGTAACATCAAACAGAGCCCGGCCTGGCTTTCATCTCCCCAGCATGGCATGGAGGTGGGCAGAGGGAAGTGGGGCTCCTGCCTGGGGAGGCTGTGTCCTGCTCCCTGCCAGCACCTCTGGCACCCTGCACTGCACAGGCCGGAGGTGCAGCACAGAAGGGCCCTGACATGATGTGGGTTTGGCCAGCACGTGTCCAGGTTGCAGGAATGTGTCAGTCAGCCCAGTCCCATGGACATCCACAGACCTGCTGTGGATGCTGGTGCACAAGCAGAGGCTGCGGGGAGCTCCCTATTGTCCCACATGTGCTGTGTGTACCCCAGGAGGCTTCCAGAGCCTGTGGCAGAGGGGTTGCACCCTGGGGCACAGGCACTGCCTTCGGCTGCTCTGGGTGTTGGTGTTCTGCAGCCTCCTGAAGCCCTCGGGTCCTGCACCAGGGCAGGCAGCAGGGTGACCGTGGGCGCTTGTTTCTCAGCAGAGCACCTGCAGGGCCCAGTGCCCACCCTCTGGAACGAGCCTCCCGAGCTGCCCTCTGGAGCCGGCCCCATGGACACCACCACAGCCCGTCTCTCGGATGCCACAGCCTTCCCCCCGTACACGTCTGAGCTGGAGCCCGAGGACACCACTCACCTGCACCGGCTGGATGCTGGGGACGGTACATGGTTGAACCATGGGGATCACCAGAGGGTGTCCTCGCTCTGCGGTTGCTCTTTATGGTCCTGTTGCCTCCCAAGCGGGGTTTGAGAACCCGGAGGTGGCCTGAGCCGAGCCACACTGCTGGGGATGGGGTGAATAGGCAAGAGTATGCCTCAAACTCTTTAAACAGGGAGTGTGAGCACCTTCCATAGATCGTGATCTACAGCAAACGCCTGTTGTAATGTGCTTTGAGCAAAGCAGCTCTTGGTGTGGGTGTTAGCAGGAAAGCTGAGGGCCAAAGACCTGCTGTGTGGTGGCCCTCGTGGTCACTGGGTAAGGAGCTGTGGTTGGCTCCAGTCACCTGCCCAAGGGCTTAATGCTGCTGGGGCACAGGATTGTGCCTCAGCTGCACTGGGACATGGGAACAGGGCCATCATGGGCAGTGCATGGGGCTTGGGAGTGTGACCCCATGGCCAGGGGCATGCTTGTGTGGGGCTGATCTCCCTTAGCCCTTCCCACCTGGGACCCACTGGCTATGCTGATCTCATACCGTCTTGTTCTCTGTCCCTGCAGGGTCACTGGGACCCGGAGCTATCGGTGCCATTGTCATCGCCTCCCTCCTGGGCACCTCTGTGCTTGTGGCCTTGGTCATCATCACGCTGAGAAAGTTCTCTGCCTCCTGAACTCAATAAAAGATTTCTCTGTACCCCACCAGCCCTCGGCTGCTCCTGCTGCCCGCCTGCCTGGGCTCCCTGGGGACACAAGCTGCCATGGATGTCGCAAAGGGCGCTCCAGCCTCTGCGCTGGGCAGCAGAGCTGCGCCCCAGTGTGCTGTGCTCTTGGCATGTGGATCCTTGGGGTGCACACAGGCTCGACCACAGCAGTTGGGGGGGGGGGGTGGGGTGTTACAGCAGTGAGTGAGTGGGTGGCTCTGAGCTGGCACCAGCTCTCCTGGCTGTTGGTAACAGTGTTGGGCATCACCTTGTGCACGTGTCCTTGGGAAGGGCTGTTCATCTGGTGTAGACCACCCTGATACTTCCCTTGTCTCACCTGACCCCACGTTCACATCCAGGCCCACTCCCACCCCCTGCGTTCGCGCTCGTTGCCCCCCACCAGTGGCACTGGAGGAGACTGGGGAGGAAGGAGACACACGCATGTGGCTTTGGCGCTGGCTCACTCAGGTACATTTCATCACACAGGAAAACAAGACAACAAGAAGTTCCCCTCAGGTGGCTGAGGCAGCCCAGCGGGGCCGGGGGGCTCCAGCCCGTGCATGTGGGCCCCAGGCCTGGCCCTGTACAACACTGGAGACCACAGAAACAGAGGCGTGCAGGGCTGGGTCTGAGGAGGTAACACTGGATGCCACTCGGTGCCTGAAAACACACAGCCTGTGCCTATGGTTTGGGGTCCTAAAAGGTCACAACAGAGCAAGAGGGGGGCAGAGCAAGTCCCAGGGTCTGGTGGTGGGTCATGGCATGGTGCATGGCAGCCCTGAGCCCTTGTTCCCTGGAGAAATGCAGTGAGGAACCAGCATCCCAGTACCAGGAAACCTGGGTCAGCCCCTCCACTGGTGAAATAGCTGTTCCGAGGGGTAAGGGAGCATTTCACCTCAGGCAGGCATTGGGGCAGCAGTGCCTGGGCTGTGGAGCTGTAACATCTGCTGCATGGCAACTTCTCAGGTCATTTTGAGGATTTCCTGGAGCTGGAGCTCCTCTGGGTTTTGCATTAGAGAATTTGTGGCTGCCGTAAGGTCTGAGCTGACCCCTTGGTTGTACTCAAAAGCTGACTGTAGGGTGCTGTTAGGGGGGAATGTGGGGGGGGGGGGGGACATGGCTAATTTGGGCTGTCCCCTTTAAGTAAGCCCAGTGCACCAGGTTGGAGGCTGTGGCCCCTTCCTGGTCCCCAGCTCTGGGCTGGGCATCAGCAGGGGGCCTGGGGCCCTCTCCCTGGGGTGCTATAGGCAAGCACAGCCCTGCTGTCACTGTTAACCTGCCGCTAACCTGGGTCTGAGGGGCTATGCCTTCATTCTCCCTTCACTGTTCTGGTCCCACCAGGGCTGCAGCCGCTTGCCCAGTGCAGAGCATCCTAGGACCATGGTGCCTCCCTCACCTGGCTCTGGCTGCACCCCTCATGCGTAACCTGGTCCTGGGTGGCCCAAAGACCAGCCCCAAGCAGAACTAACTCCCTGGTCCCTGCTGCTTCCCCAGGCTGCCCTCACCACAGCTCTGCTCTGTGCTGTGCATGGCTCCCTTGGCAGGCAGCTCTTCTCCATCCCCTTCTGGAGCACAGCCATGACACTGCAGGAGCATGCGGCACTGCAGGTCACAGCACCTGCAAGACTCCTTTGCAGTGGTACAGAAAGATGCCAAACAATCCATTTCCCTGATGCACGTTGGCCGCAGCTCAGGACCAGCCTGTAGCCAAGGGGCCCGCTGCTGCAGCCACGTGTGGGACTGTTCATAGCGAGGCTGTCGGACAACAGGCGGCTGCCGTGGGTCCGTCCCCTGGCTGGTCTCAGTGCAGGGCCCTGGGCTTCATGCAAGGAAGGAGAGCTGCCCGGCTCTGCGCAGCCTGGCGATGGGGTTGATGTATATACATGGAGGTGCAGCTGTACAGGGAGATGGTGCGCTCTGCCTGTGCAGGCAGTGGCACGCTGTGGGTTACAAGCATGCAGGCAGCAATCGCTGGGCCTCCCACGGCGTGTGGGACAGCAGCTCCTGGAGTAAGGTCACTGGCCTGCTGCTGGTGCTCCCATGGTGGTGTGCAGGGAAGCGCTGGCACGGCTACCCTGCCCTGTGCCTCTGCAGCAGCGAAGCAGCAGTGACCACAGAGACCACAAGTGCCAGATCAACCAGGAAAGGATGTGGTGCCAGGACCCTGCGGAGGGATTGGCTGTGGAAGAGGGGCTGAGCCATGGGCACGGCCTCGATGTGCTCTTAGGCCATTTGGCAGGCGGAGGTGTGGGTCAGGGCTGGTGAGGTTGCACTGCTGGTGGAGCAGGGCTGGATGTGGAGCATTTAACTGAAGCAGATGGGGTGTCTGCTCATGGGAATGGGCCCAAGTGGCTCCACAGCAGGGTTGCTGGAGTTACAGGGGCTTGTCCCAGCCTGGTGCTGATGGGCTGTATAGAGGCGGTGAGACAGGTCTTCTGCTTCAGCTTTATCCCTGTAAGATGGTGTTTTAGGAGCGACCCAAACTATAAGTCATGATGAGCTGCAAGTGCTCAAACGGGGCAACATAAGTGCTTTTTATGCTTGTGGCCATGTGCTTTTCCCAGGCAGCCCGACCCAGCCCCAGCTAGCACATGTGCAGGGAATGGGGATCAGCCAGCCGGCACCTTTAGGCTGTGTCAGCTTGGCTTGTGTTCTCTGCAGCTGTACAGAATGCCTGGGAAAGGGTTATCCAAGCCAGTTCAGAGCACAGATCTCCAGGGAAGCATCAGTGCTGCAGGGAGCCCAGGACCCGCAGGCTGTCTGTTCATGGGTGCATGTGCCTGCTCTGGCACACCAAGTCCTGCACCATGGCCCACCACACCGTCACCATATCCTCCCAGCTGTGCTTCTGTCCTTTGCCCCTCTACCAGAGGTGCTCCAGATGTTCGGGGATGCCACTGGTCATTGGCGGTTCCTGCTGCCCAGTTTTCTCCGCTGGCTGTCATCCGACTTGTGCACCCGGAAACACTCCTTCAAGTTCTGGGCTCGGATTTTGGGGTTCAGGATCTCCTCCCCCATAGAACTGGGGAACCAGCCCCTCTCCTGGTCGTGAAGACGCTCTCCAAATATCCAGCCTGAGCAGAGACAGAGACGAGCATAAATGAGTGGTCCTTGCTCCTATGCTGGGACAGTGGTGCTGGGAAGAGCCTATACAGCTGGCAGTGCTTTCTGTGCTGTGCCTGTGCTGGAGTGGCTCGTTTGTCAATCTGCCCAAGGAGGCTTGCTTGCTTGAGCAGCACTGTATGGACAGGTAGCTCAAGGGATGCCAGAACAAAGCAGGCACTGCTGCTACTGAGTGCCCCTGGCTGCCCTTGGTGCTGCAGGAGTGGTACCCAGCACACATCCAGTGTGACTGAGTCCACCAGCTACAAGTGTGCCCCAGAGACCAGGACCAGAGGGCTGTGAAGCATCATCAAGGTAAGAACAGGTCTGGGTTGCATCTGTGTCAGCTCTGCCATGGCCCACAGCCAGTGCCAGGGTGGCTGTGCCAGCACTACCAGGATTTGCTGAGTGTCAGGAGGAGGCAGTAGCTCCCCCCTCCTGCTCTGAGCTTCCTCTGCTGTGATGCCAATGACGGGTCTCTCCCTGCCTGGCCCCTCCTGTCTGCCAAGGGCAAAGCCCACCCTCCCACAGATGCCACCATCTTGTGCCTCATACCATCATCTGTCTTGTCCAGGATGTTGAGGACATCAGCCAGTTCCAAGGACAGCTCATCTGGCTGCTGGGCCACATACGGGTGGACACACTGGATCTGCGGGCAGTCTGCCAGGAACAGGGCAAGAGTGAGGGATGGAATGGGATGGATACTGCTGTAGGACCATGAACTCCACGAATGGTCCCTGTGATCTGGTAAGAAACCCCATGGAGGACAAGGGGTGCCCCAGTCACATGGACCAGGGAAGCATCTCTGAGGGGGAAGGAGCTGGGTGTGCATCACCACTGCAGCGCTACCCTGGAGTAGCCTGGGTGGGAGGGAGAGTGCTGGTGCAGCCCAGCCTGGGTTGGAGGGGTGCAAGGTCAGGGCCAGGCCCACAGATGAGTGGCTGTGGGTGGTGGGAACACAAGGGGTGCCAGGAACAGTCCAGCTTCAGCAGAGGCCCCAAGCCCAGGGCTGGACTGAGATTAAAACAGAATAAGGTGCCCTGGTGCAGGGGTGAAGAGCATGTGGCTCCCATGCTGTGTCTCTTACCAACAAGTCTGGATGTAAATGAAACAAACTTGGTTCTGCGGTTTGGGGCCAGTGAGATCATCCAGCGTTTCATCTCGCTCCTGCATAGGGGAGACAAACCAAATCTGTGAGTATGGGACAGTCATAGGGACCCAGCTCTCTTGTGCAGCCAGCCCTGGGCTCCTAATGGTTTCTTTCATGGCCTTCTCCACCCTGGGGTCCTGACTCCCAGGTGATGCTGTGCCCCACTCTTTCACACGCAGTGGTTGGGTTGTCACACATCCTGTGCCCTGGGCTCTGCTGGCTGTCCCCAGAACAGGAAGATCCCACTTTGGGGAGCAGCCTGGCTTCAGAGAGCCAGCAGCAGGGTGAGAGGCCTGGCATCCTCTGGGGTCTAACCAGGGCTGGGTCAATAGGAGCAGTTCTTCCTGCAGAGAAGCAGTGAGAGGTTCATTTATGCTTGAAGCTGCTGTGTGGGAATGTTTAAAGGACAGAACTGATGAATTCACTTGCAAATGTTGCAGCACACCAAGGGTACCGCTTGGCTGGCAGCAGATGAGACACAGACCCATATGAGCGTATTCAGCACGCTGCTATGCGAAACCTGGGCATGCAGCAGGAGGTGGAAGATCCACAGTGCTGAAGAAGCCCCATGCCTGGAGGTCCCTTAGCCCTGCTTGGAAACAGGCAGCTCATCTCCACAGGCTGCAGCTCCTGCCTGGAGAACCAGCGGTGGTCCCAGCCCCATGGGAACCAGAGGTTTGTACCTTCTCTGATGCTAGTTCTAAAGCCTGAACTTGACACACATCTAAAGCCACCAGAGTGCCTTCTGG